ATCGGCGTCCAGATGGAGACGTCCAGACTTATAAGCAACCGAGTAGGAATACTCCTGTAGGCGTAATGCCCAACGACCAAGTCGTCCAGTGGGGTCCTTCAGAGAAGAAAGCCAACACAGCGCGTGATGATCTGTGATGACACGGAAAGGGCGGCCATACAAGTAAGGACGGAATTTCGAAACCGCCCAAACAAGAGGGAGACATTCCCGTTCTGTTATAGAATAATTGCGTTCAGACTTAGAAAGCAGACGGCTTGCGTACGCGATCACACGGTTGTTGCCCCGCTGATTTTGCGCCAAAACTGCACCAATTCCGTGACCACTCGCGTCTGTTCGCACTTCTGTGGGAGTATCGGGGTCGAAATGTGCAAAAATAGGAGGTGTCGTTAGAGCGGTGATTAGCTGAGAGAAGGCGTCAGCTTGAAGAGGGCTCCAAGAAAATGGAACGTCTTGTTTGAGAAGGTCAGTGAGTGACCGTGCGTGTGCCGCAAAGTTTTTCACAAACCGGCGAAAGTAGGAGCAGAGGCCCACAAAACTGCGAACATCATGGACAGAGCGTGGGACTGGGAAGTTTGTTACAGCGCGTACTTTCGCCGGGTCTGGCCGTACGCCGGCAGCGTCAACGAGGTGACCCAATACGGTAATCTGACGAAGACCGAAGTGGCACTTGGAGGAATTGAGCTGCAGGCCGGCCCGTCGAAATATGGATAGAATGGTCGAAAGGCGTTCAAGGGGGGTTGCAAAGGTAGGTGAGAAAATGATCACGTCGTCTAGGTAACACAAACATGTCGACCATATAAATCCTTGTAGGAGCGTGTCCATCATTCTCTCGAAGGTCGCTGGAGCGTTGCAGAGCCCGAATGGTATGACCTTCAATTGGTAAAGACAATCAGGGGTAACGAAGGCGGTCTTTTCTCGGTCCATGTCATCTACAGCAATTTGCCAGTAGCCAGATCGGAGGTCGAGAGATGAAAAGAGGGTGGCGCCAAGGAGGCAATCAAGGGCATCGTCAATGCGTGGTAGAGGGTACACGTCTTTTTTTGTAATTTTGTTGAGGTGGCGATAATCAACGCAGAAACCCCATGAGCCATCTTTCTTTTTTACTAATACCACGGGAGATGCCCAAGGGCTTGTTGATGGTTCGATTACGTTTTTCGTAAGCATTTTGGCCACTTATTTCTGAATCACTTCTCGCTCGGACGCTGACACGCGGTACGACCAATGTTGAATGGGCGCAGAGTCACCAGTGTTGATTCGGTGAGTGACAATTTTAGTCTGGCCCAAGGGAACGATCGTCGGTGTCGAAAATGTCACTGTATGAGGCCAAAACTTGGCAGAGAGCGCCGGCCTGGGGAGGTGACAGCTCCAATCCAATCATGTTTCGAAAAATATCATCGTCTGAGCTGGGTGACCGTGAGAATGCGTTTCGATCAAGAGCAGATACAGCGACAACACTGACATTGTCCTCTGTTATGGCAGTTAGATGGGCTAGAGACATCTGGCATGGCAACACTTGCGGGGTGAAACCAAAGTTAAGGAGCGGAAGTAACGCACAGTTATCCGCTATTGTCGCGACGGTATAGGGCACAGTAACACTGCGCGTCAGCCGAACGTCAGTAATTGGCGTAACGATATAATCACCGTCAGGAACGGGAGGGGTCGATGACAAAGGCACGTACGTGACGGCTCGAGGTGGCAGGCGAAGGAAAGTGGTTGGGCTCAAGTGGCTGGTGGGCTTTGCAGAGTAGTCGGCAAAGATTGGTAGATCAAGGCTGAGGGTAACAGACGAACAATCAATTAAGGCCGAGTGTGCCGAAAGGAAATCAAGGCCAAGTATGCGGCCATGAGAGCAGCAGGCTAGCTCGGCAAAAAGGACCACGGCGTGACGACAGGCATGCTGACACGAGCAGTGCGTATTCCGATTACTGGTACAGTACCGCTATCGGCAATACGTATTGCCTGCATCGTAGATGGCGTCATAATCTTTTGTAAGCGGCAGCGTAGAGAAGCGCTCATAATAGACAGGTGCGCACCTGTGTCAATGAGGGTGGTCACAGGAACATGGTCGACTTGTACTTCAAGCAGGCTATGGTGCGTGGGAAGCGTCAGTAGAGGATTTTCGGCCGTCATTGGTGTTGTAGCTACACATATAAAAGCTGCAATATCTAGTTTTTGTGCTGCGGTCGTCCAGAGAAGCTCGGCGAGGAAAAGCCGAGGTGGCGGAGAGCGGGATTGGCGACGTAGCGGCGATGGGGAGCGAGAGCTGCAGCGACCAGACGAAGGGGCTTCAGGGTAGTGGCGACCGGGCAAAGGGGCGTCAGTGGAAGGCTCGTAAGGTGACGACGAATATAAATTGAAGGGTGCGGCGACAGAACGTCGAGGGGTCGTCGGATGCGTGAGCGCTGAGGTAGAGAAAGTCTGACGTGGTTGGTTTGACCAACGGCGGCGGCAATAGCGAAAAACGTGCCCAGGCTGGTGGCAGGAAAAATAAATAGGCCGGTCGTCACGTCTTCGCCATTCCGAAGAGTTACGGAAGGGCATTGTTGGAGGTGAACGGCGAGCGTGTCCTCGGGAGTAGGACGGGACTTCAGGGCGAGTCGAGGGACATGCTGATGGAAGGCCGAGGTTCGCAAACTCCTGCCTCACCGCAGCTTGTATTAACGCCACTGATTGATTGATATTTGGGGTTTAACGTTCCAAAACCACTATATGATTATGAGAGACGCCGTAGTGGAGGGCTCCGGAAATTTCGACCACCTGGGGTTCTTTACGTGCAGCCAAATCTGAGCGCACGGGCCTACAACATTTCCGCCTCCATCGGAAATGCAGCCGCCGCAGCCGGGGTTCAAACCCGCGACCTGCGGGTCAGCAGCCGAGTACGTAAGCCACTAGACCACCGCGGCGGGGCTGTACTAACGCCACTGACGGCTGTTGTTGGTCAGAGGCGAGCGTTGCGAAAACGGGTGGCTGAAGAGGAGCCGGACAGGCGGCTTCGATTTCCCGATGAACAATGCGTGTGACGTTGTCATACGTGGGGGACTGGCGGGTGGTTTCACACGATGAGGTTGCGGCCGTGTTGGGCAGCCGGGTGAATCGCTGAGTAATACGGCGGCTCTTGGCTTCTTGGAACCGCCGGCACTCTTTATTGATGGCGTCGACGGTGGCAACATTGTTGTAAACTAGAAGATTAAATGTGTCGTCTGCCATGCCTTTCGGCACATGGGCCACTTTCTCAGACTCACTCATGTGCTTGTCAATCTGGCGGCATAGGGCGATGACGTCGTGAATATACGCGACGTACGACTCCGTCGACGTCTGTGCACGAGCCGCCAGTTGATTCCGCGCTGCGATCTGCCGCCCAACGGTGTCGCCAAAAAGGTCGCGGATCTTCTCTTTAAAGGAGTCACAGTTTGTAATCTCCGCTTCGTGTGTCTCGAACCACACTCGCGGTGGGCATTCGAGGTAAAAAAGCACACTGCCAAGCATAAGAGTCGGGTCCCACGTATAGCTTGCGCTGACCCGTTCGTACCAGTTGACCCATTTGTCGACGTCAATGCCATCCTGACCGGAAAATACACCGGGATCACGAGCAGGAGGTAGAACGACGTATGTAGAAGTCACGGTAGGGGCAGGTGGTGAAGACGATGGTTGTTCAACCTATGACATGGTTGGATCTATGATGATGCGGCCGTTGCGGAGCTTCGTGATGTAGACGGGGAAGCACCCAGCACGTCCACCACAAAGATGTTGCGTACAAATGACACGGGGCGTGTCTATTTAAAATCTATATTCAAACTGATGCGTATGGCGTCGACTAAGATGAAAGACAGCACACACAACCGACAGACCACTTCCTCGTTGTCGTCTTCTGACCGCTGATATGTCAGCTACGTAGCAATATGAATTAATAAAAATGTCCCTTTCATGAACATGAGGTGTAGCGTGCAGCTATTGCGAGGCGAATGATTGTGCTGGACAAACGAGCAAAGCAGAGGTGCCGAACCAAGGCGTTGCGATAAGCAGGTGCGGGCCCAACAATGGTGGTGGCCTATCGGGCGTAGCGGAGGCGCCGAACCTAGGCGTAACGCGCAGCACGTGTGGGGCCAGCGGTGGTGGCGGTCGAACGAGCGTAGCAGAGGCACCGCGCACAGCAGGTGCCGCGCCAACGCTAATGGTGGCCAAATGGGTCTAGCAGAGGCACCAAACCTATGCGTTGCGCGCAGCAGATGCGGTGCCAACGGCAGTGGTGGTCAAACGAGTATGACAGGGATGCCGAACCTAGGCGCAGCACGCAGCACGGGCGGGTTTATCGGAGGTAGTGGTCAAACAACCGTAGCAGAGGCGATGAACCTATGCGTTGCGCGCTGCAGGTACGGGGCTAACAGTGGTGATGGACAAACGAGCGTAGAAGAGGCGCCGAACCTAGGCGTAGATTGCAGCACGAGTGGGGCCAATGGTAGAGGTGAACAAACGAGTGTAACAGAGGCACCAAACCCAGGGCGTGACACAGACCAGATGCCTAGCCAACGGTGGTGGTGGCAAACGCCGAACCTATGCATTGAACCTGAGGCGTCAAACCAATGCATCGCACGCAGCACGTGCGGGAGCAGCGGTGGTAGTGGACAAACTAGCGTAGCAGATGTACCGAACCTAGACGTTGCGCACAGCAGGTGCCGGGCCAACAGTGGTGGTGGACAAACGAGCGTAGCAGAAGCACCGAACCTATGGAAGTTGAGCACAACAGGTGTCGAGCCAACGGTGGCGGTGGCCAAACGAGCCCAGCAGAGGCACCAAACCTAGGCGTAGCGCACAACCGGTGCCGGGCCAACGATGGTGGTGGAAAAACGAACCTAGCTGAAGTGCCGGTAGTGGTGGACAAACGAGCGTAGCAGATGTACCGAACCTAGGCATTGCGCACAGCAGGTGCCGAGCCAACGGTAGTGGTGGCGAAACGAGCCTAGCACAGGCACCGAACCTAGGAGTTGCGCACAACAGGTGCTATGCTAACGGTGGCGGTGGAAAAAACGAGCATTGCAGAAGCACCAAACCTATGCGGAGCGCGCAGCACGTGCGGGGCCGGCGGTGGTGGTGGCCAAACGAGCGTAGCAGAAGCACCAAACCTAGGCGTTGCGCGCAGCATGTGCGGGGCCAATGGTGGTGGTGGACAAGCCAGCGTAGCAGAAGCACCGTACCTAGGCGTAGCGCGCACCATGTGCGGTTCCCGCGGTGGTGGTGGTCAAACGAGCGTAGCAGAACCACCGAACCTAGGCGTAGCGCACAGCTCGTGCGGAGCCAGCGGTGGTGGTGGACAAACGAGCGTAGCAGGAGCACCGAACCTAGGTGTAGCGCACAGCTCGTGCGTGACCAGCGGTGGTGGTGGACAAACGAGCGTAGCAGAAGCACCGAACCTAGGCGTTGTTCACAGCAAGTGCCTAGCCAACGGTGGTGGCGAACGAGCCTAGCTGAAGCGCCGATCTATGTGTTGCGTGCAACACGTGCGGAACCAGCGGTCGTGGTGGTCAGGCGAGCGTAGAAGGTTTACCGAACCTGTGAATTGCGCACAGCAGGTGTCGGGCCAACGCTGGTGGTGACCAAACGAGCCTAGCAGAGGCACCAAACCTAGGAGTTGCGCACAACAGGTGTCGGGCCAACGGTGGTGGTGGACAAACGAGCCTAGCAGAGACGTTGATTCTATGCGTTGCGCGCAGCACGTGCGGGGCCAGCGGTGGTGGTGGACAAACGAGCGTAGCAGAGGCACCGAACCTAGGTGTAGCGCGCAGCACGTGCGGGGCCAGTAGTGGTGGTGGTAAATCGAGTGTAGAGCAGGCGCCGAGCCTATGCATTGCGCACAGCAGATGCGGGGCCAACGGTGGTGGTGGTCAAACAAGCCTAGCAGAGGCGCCGAACCTAGGCGTTGCGCACAGCACGTGTGTAGTCTGATAATCTGTGGTGCGCGAGAGAGAAACCGGAACTGAAAGTGTCGTGTGGTGGCACAGTGGGTTTCTGACTGCAGGTGTGTGCCGCGATTCTCAAACCGAAACTCCGATCCTCAGTGTATGTAATGTGGTGGCGAAGAGGATGTGATTTATGAGCGTACGGAATCGACGAATCGACGATGAAGGCAGGGACAGCTCGTGAGACGCAGCCTCGAGGTTTGGGGATCAAGATTAAGCAGCGCGAGGTGCAGCGTTCGAGACAGGACTACCTCGCTGGGCGTCTTGTCCATAGGTTCCATCCCGGCCACGTCGCTACCTTTCCACCAGCTCAGCGCTCAGTCTCCACTAGGTGACAGGCTCAGGACGGCCAACGTGTCGTTCGACCCACGCTACCCCTCGACGACTGGTCCAGAGGAACTGGCGCCGTGTGCCTGAGCCTGCCTGCCTCTTCCTGAGCCAGGGTACTTCAAACTTGACCTTGCCTTGCTGGTCCAGGAGGGTGAGCGTGGATCTTTGTGCCACACTGCTGGTGCCTAAGAGCACAACTACCTGCCTTAGCAGCACGTCTGTCGTCGACTCTGGTTAGCCGACCGTGACGTCGAGCCAACCGAGTGGTCACGTGCTCAAGTGCAAGTCGTGCGGCAAAACGAGAGACACGTCGCTGAAAATTTCCGAAGCAAGTCTCGAGACGACATATAGAATTCTTCCTGCGCTTTTACCGAATCCAAATCTTTCCTGGCTCGTACTAGAAAAGCGGCTAGACATCCAGAAAAGAAGATTTTTTGTTCCAGTCACCATGGTTATGACCGCGTGCAGGATGCAGTACGTTTCCTGGTCGACGGGATGCCAGTGGTTCAAAGTGTACTGCTAGGAAGAGAGGTTCGAGTACTCCGTTACACGGGATGCCACACGGCAATTGTCCGGCGGAGGAACTCATTTATGACGTCTGCTTTACAGGCATGACAATCATTGGCGTTTTGCTAGACGGGTCATTTAGCCATCTCCCGGAAGCTGAGGTAGACGTCGGCGCAGCGTATTTTACAGGCAAACTCAGAGTAGCTTTTATGCACCAAACGCCGTATTCCCTCGTCTTGGGAAACCTATCAGGCGTCCAAGAACAATACACTACAATTTCTGAGTGGGAGCAGGCGGCTCGTTTTCACGTGGATGAGTTACTAGTGAAAGCACCTACGACCAAGTCTCTTGTCAACTCAACGTCGTTTTCTTCTAGCGTGGTAAATGCCAAAGCCAAACAATACAATCAAAAGAAGAGCAGACATTTTTACGTCTCAACAACACTGTTGCGCGACGTTACAAGAGCAACACTCGTCGAGGAGCAGCGAAAGGATCCGACCCTGAAACCCACGTTTGCCAAAGTCAATATAGAGTTCAAATGGGAAAGGCCACTGCTACTAGTTTATTGAAGATAAAGGATTGATTTATTGTCGCTACCCCCTTGCCACAGGCAAAACGTTTAAACAAGATATCACTCCGAAGCCATTGTGAGAAGGCACGCATTCTGGACTTTGCTCATGCCAGTATCATGACGGGACACCAGGCCATCAAGAGAACTACTGATCGCGTTCTCGAAGACTTTTATTGGCGTGATCTGACCGGAAACGTGAAGTGCTTTGCCAAGTCGTCCGACAAATGCCAAAGAACTACCCCGAAAGGGAAAATAGCAGTTGCACCACTAGGCAACATGGCTCTTATCCGGACACTTTTTGGAAGGGTCGCGGTTGACTTAATCGACCCCTCCTTCCGAAGATCTGACCAGGGGAACCAATATGTCCTAACATGATTACAATCTGCTACTCGGTATCCTGACGCTGTAGTACTGCCCGCAATCGATGCTGTTCACGTTAGGGAAGCACTGATCGAGGTTTTTTTCTCGTATCGGTTTGCCAAAGGAAATGGTCACCGAAGAAGGGACAAGTTTTACCTTGAAACTGAAATAGGAGGTAAGCCGGCTTCTCTCTGTGAAGTAGCTGAAGGCGAACGCCCTATCACGCGATGGCAAATGGTCTCGTAGAGAAGTTCAATGGCACCCTCGAGACAATTTTGAAGAGAATGTGCCAAGAGAAGTTTCGCTCTTGGGATAGGTACCTCGCCCCACTACTCTTCACGTATAGTGAAGACCCACAGGAAATCCTCGGATTCTCGCCTTTCTAACTCATTTACGGCTGCCACGTTCAAGTACCGATGATCATGTTGAGAGAGCTGGGAACGAATGACGTACTTGACTCAAAAAGTCAGATGACGTGCACCTACACTTTCGATCTGTGCAATCGCCTGAAAGAGACTTGCAAAATAGCCCACAAACGGCCGGGGAAGGCTCGAGTGAAACAAAAGACCTAATATGACAGGAAACGTCACCCAAGGAAGTTATGCCCTGGCGAGAAGATTTTAATTTTGCTTCCGACTGATATTTCAAGACTAATATGACAGGAAACGTCACCAAAGGAAGTTATGCCCTGGCGAGAAGATTATAATTTTGCTTCCGACTGATTCCAACAAGCTTTTATAGCAGTGGAAAGAGAAATTCCCTAACGTTGCCCGAAACAAAGACGTTGATTACGCGATGCTTGAGGAAAGAACAAGATCTTCCACATGAACATGCTGAAAAGATACGAAGAGTGTGAGGCGACAAAACCGAAATCGGTGTCAGTTGTTGCGGAGGCCCATGTTTATTTCTCCGAAAATGAGGAAATCAAAGAGATGACAATGTTGAACTTGCATTGCACACAGTTATGCTCGAATGTCAAGCTATCCCCATACCTCGCTGCTTATCGAGTTCTGAAAAATTTGTAAATACTGCTGAAGGAGTACGCGGACACTTTTCTGACGCTTTTATGGCTTTTCCAGGAGTATGCAGACATTTTTTCTGAAACTGGTGCTGGTGGAGTGTTCGCTACGTCTGACCTCCGACAAGCCTGCCCATGTTCCGCAACACTCTATGGAGCACTCTTTTTCCGTATGTTATAGAAAGTGTTGCGACAACGTTGGAACCACCCACTTGAGTCGCGCTTAACTGCCGTTCAGCTCGCCATGTGGCTTTGTAAAACCACTAGCCCACAGTTTGGACTAGGTATTGTACTCTCTTGTAATGGAGTTGAATAACCGAGCTGTGTACAATGTTATGAGTCTGTTATTGTGCCCATGAGAACACTAAGGGCATCGAAGTGTGTGTTGCCCCCCACTATAGCGACTCGTTTTTCCCACGCGCAATTCCGCTAGATTAGTTGTTTGTAAACAACTTTCCCGGAAAACAGGGTGATGTGATAATATGTGGTACAAGGGAAAGAAACCAGAACTGAAAGGGTTGCGAGGTGGCACAGTGCGTTTCTGACTGCGTGTATGTGTCCTGGCTGTGAAATCAAAACTCAGACCTCGAGTGTTTGCCTTGCGGTGACGAAGAAGATGTGATTTATGCGCGTATGTGCTGTGCGGAATCGACTACAAAGACAGTGACAGGTGGTTAGGCATGGCCGCGCGGTTTGAGGACCGAGATTCGGCAGCGAGAGGTGCAGTGTTCGAGGCAGGACTATCTCACTGGGTGTCTGGCCCATAGGGTTCAGCCTGGCCTCGTCGCTATCCTTCCAGCAGCTGGGTGCTCGGACGCTGCTACGGAACATGTCCAGGACGGCCAACGGGGCGTTCGACCCACTCTACCACTCGACGACTGGTGCAGGAGAGCTGGCGCCGGATTCCTGAGCCTGCCTGCCTGCCTGCCTGTTTCTGAGCCCAGGTTCCTGAAACCTGGCCTTGCCTCGCTGGTTGAGGAGTGCTAGCACGGATCTTCATGCCGCACTGCTGGTGCTAAGCGCACAACTACTTGCCTTCACAGCACGTCTGTCGTCGACTGCGGTTAGCCAACTGGGCTGTCACCGCACGCCCCGGCACCGCATCAACGAAACATCGCCACTACAAGTTTCCAACGAGACTACAATGATGGCTCAGACAACGACGTTGCCAACCTGAACTGCCGGCTGGACGTTCTCTTTATTTCCATAGCTTATCCGCATGCATGTTAGCCCTAGTGTGTATTTATGTATAGGTGCGAAGTGTGTGGAATATATAGATGACGTGTGTTCGTGTATTGGTATAATAACCACTTCTTTTGGGGTCGTCCTGTCCCAATATAACATCACAGGGTCATCGGTCGTAGTGGTCAAACGAGCGTAGCAGAGGTGCCGAACCTAGGCGTGGAGCGCAGTACGTGCAGGTTCATCGCTGGTTATGGTCAAACGAGCGTAGCAGAGGCACCGTACCTAGGTGAAGCACGCAGCAGGTGTGGGGCCAACTGTGGTGGTGGACAAACGAGCGTAGCACAGGTGCCGAACCTGGGCGTAGCGAGCAGCACGTGCGGGACCAGTGGTGGTGGTGTACCAACGAGCGTAGCAGAGGCATCGAACCTACTTGTTACGCACAGGAGGTGCTGGACCAGCAGTGGTGGTGGTCAAACGAGCGAAGCATAGGCGCCGAACCTAGGCGTAGCGTGCAGCACTTGCAAGGCCAACGGTGGT